ATTATCTTCACCCTTTCTAAGCTTCTAACTTTCTGTCCTGGAGTAACAAGTTGCCTCACATGTTTCACGCACGATTTCATTTTCAAAACTTTTTTCACTGGTCTTTGGATCGTCGTAGCTGAAACTCTTCTCTTGTGTGTCAAACTTTTTATGAATTCACTTGGATCTTTTCTAGATGTTCTCTTTAACTCTAACTTGAAACAATGATCCCTCTTGCTGTTGCATCTTCCTGTTTCAGTTTTTCTCTCTACTCTCCACACGTTTTTTTAACCTGGACTAAAGAAACTCAACTACTTTAGTGTTTCTTCAGATATTAATCATTTTCTGGCATGGATAATAATGCTGCTACACGATGTGGACAATTTTGAAGATACACCTGTATATAGATAGATAAGTAAAGCAGACTATGCTCTTTAGCCTTGGATAGAAACTAGTTTAGAATGGCATCTATGAATTTAAACCTGAGGAGGTGTGTGGGGGGATGTCGTACAATATAATGCGCAGAGGTACTCTATATTCAGTTCATTCGCAAATTGTGGAGGCTTCTGCACAAGCCATTACAACTATAATCAAATCATATGTACAGGTAGGGTGGCTGCTCGGTTTAAGAAAACCAGTGTCTTGTAATTGTTTATTCTCTTCGGTTTTGTTTACTTTTGCATCCCGCAGACATCAAGAAATGACTTAGTTAGAGTGGTCTGAGAGCATTGATTAAAAGCAACTTTGGAGAACACCTTTTAGTAAACTGTGAGTCAAATATCTTTTAACAAGCGAAAGGAAGAAAGAAAAAAAATGTAAAAAAAGTAAGAATAAAAGGAAGAAAGAAGAAGAAAGAAAGAATAAACAAAAAAGAAGAAAAAAACAAACAAAAAAAAAGAAAAGAAAGAATAAACAAAAGAAGAAGAAGAAAAAGAAAGAAAGAATAAACAAAAAGAAGAAGAAGAAGAATAAGAAAGAAAAGAAAGAAAGAAAGAAAGAAAGAAAAATAAAAGAAAAAAAGAAGAAAAAAAGAATAAAGAAAGAAAGAAAATAAAGGAAAAAGAAAGAAAGAAAGAAAAAAAAATAAATAAATAAAGAAAAAAAAGATAGAATAAAGAAAGAAAAGAAAAAAAGGAGAAAAGAAAGAAAGAAAAGAAAGAAAGAAAGAAAGAAAGAAAGAAAAAAAATAAATAAAGAAAGAAAGATAGAATAAAGAAAGAAAAAAAATAAATAAATAAAGAAAGAAAGAAAGATAGAATAAAGAAAGAAAGAAAAAAAGGAAAAGAAAGAAAGAAAAAGAAAAAAAAGGAAAGAAAGAAAGAAAATAAAAGAAAGAAAGAAAAAAGGAAAAGAAAGAAAGAAAGAAAGAAAAAGAAAGAAAGAAAAAATAAATAAAGAAAGAAAGAAAGAAAGAATAAAGAATAATAAGGAGAAAGAAAGAAAGAAAAAAAGAAAGAAAGAAAGAAAGAAAGAAAGAAAGAAAGAAAAAATAAAGAAAGAAAGAAAGAAAGATAGAATAAAGAAAGAAAGAAAAATAAGGAAAAGAAAGAAAGAAAGAAAGAAAGAAAGAAAGAAAGAAAAAATAAATAAATAAAGAAAGAAAGATAGAATAAAGAAAGAAAGAAAAATAAGGAGAAAGAAAGAAAGAAAGAAAGAAAGAAAGAAAGAAAGAAAGAAAGAAAGAAAAAATAAATAAATAAAGAAAGAAAGATAGAATAAAGAAAGAAAGAAAAATAAGGAGGAAGAAAAAAGAAAGAAAGAAAGAAAAAGAAGAAAGAAAGAATTTGTTTAGGCATATATCAGCTCATTATGGTTTGTTTGTTTTGTTTTACGGCATATCAACCTCAATGCGTTATTTAATGTCAACAAGATTTTTTATTGCTGGTAATATTTTTTTCAAAAAGTATTTCTGCTTCTATTTTTCTTTAAAATGTATTGCTGGTAATAAATTTTTATTCAAAAATGTACTGCTGGTATTAATTTTTCCAAAAATGTATTGCCGGTAATAATATATTGCTGTTAATAAATTTTTCTTCAAAAATTTATTGCTGGTATTAATTTTTCCAAAAATGTATTGCTGGTATTAAAACTTATTTTTAGACGATTCTGACCCCAGGTAACTATTTTCCCATAGTTGGGACCCTAACAGTCAGGGTCAGCGTGGACCTGGGAACACCTGAAATTAAGAGGTGGTTCCACGCTCCTCAAACCCTGATCAAAAGCCTTGATGTTGCATGCAGTTTATCGTCTTATCCAGAAGGCGGGTTTAGTTTATAGTCATACCCATATGGGTTATTTAATACCGAAATTTAATTTTCTTGGGACCATAAGTAATATTCTTTTCAAAAATGTATTGCCGGTAATTTTTTTTACTATAAAAATGTATTGCTGATATTTTACTATAAAAATGTATGTTTTGTACTTTCGCCGTGTTTTGACACCAGTTTGGGCGTTCCTTTGTTACCCATAGCTGGGTCCCTGATAGGTGCTACCAACCCGGTTCAGTGTGGACCTGAGAACAACAGCAAATAAGATTTGGTTCCATGCTCTTCGACACCTCCCGATCAGAGGCCTTGCTACCGCGTGTAGTTTATCGTCATACGCAGGACGTGAAAGAAAAATAACTTGTAGAGCAAGAAAGAATTAAAGAAAGGTAGAATGAAAGCAAAAAAGAACGACGGAAAGAAATATTTTAACAAAAGAAAAAAAAATAGAATAAACTTAAGCAAAAGAACATTGTCTTCTTAAAAGAAATGATGGATAAAAGAAGGATTGCTACCCAAATACACAAGTATATATAAAGATCTTTTTTCACTTTAAAAATCAAGGCGTCAATTGAATCTGCTGCATTGGTTTCAACCTTACGGCCTCCTCGGTGGACTTTTATCAAATGACCTCTTAACGCTTTTTTATTTGTTTAAAAAAATCAAACTAAAGAACACTGCATTATAATTTTCAAAAATAAATAAACAGGTGCACGACGTTGGGTGCAATAGAAAGGGAGGAGGAGGATGTGAAGAAGAAGAAGAAGAAGAAGAAGAAGAAGAAGAAGAAGCAAGTGTATTTTAAATGTATTGGTGTTGGGCTATTTACTTTTCTATTTTATTTTTTCAAAAAAATTTACAAATGCATTAAGAGTTCATTTGATAAAAAATGCCTGAGGACACTGTAACATTGAAACCAAGGTAGCGTATTCAACTTATCTCCTGATTTTTAAAGTTAAAAGCTCTGCATGTTTTTATTTTATTTTATTTTTTCACACGTGTATTGGGCACTTTTTAATACTACTGTTTCCTGGTCTGATTCAACTCTGACCATTTAAAACTTTATATATATATATATATATATATATATATATATATATATATATATATATATATATATATATATATAAATAAAAAGAAAGAAATAGCAAGATATATAATCCGGTTTTCTTATAGATACATGGTTAGAACTGTGTAGCGAAAAAAAACATATTTTAAATCAATTAATTTATAATATATATATATATATATATATATATATATATATATATATATATATATATATACATGTGTGTGTGTCAGCGTGTTTGTGTGCGTGTGGGGAGAGAGAAAAGAGATACAGAGACAGTGAGAGACATGGAGTCAGGTATAATTCTCGATTTGAAATCACAAAAATTTCATAAGGAAAATACGTGAGAAAATCAATTGATATTTACGTTTAAATAAACGTTTTTTTCCTTAAAAGAAAAAAAGAAGCCTAAAATATTTGCAATAACTGATGAATTTTGACGAAACGGTTGGTAGCCTGTGACCAATGAAACCTGTCACATGGTATTTGGTCAGGAGATGGAAACTACCAAGGAATCCTGATTACCCCGAGAAATGCCACGAACGACACAGCATGGTACCCTGACGATCTGCGAGAAAATAAGATTTGATTTTGTCGTTTTTCTTTCATCTTCTCTGCGTGCAGTTTTTTTTTTCAGTTGTTTGAATAAAGCAAATAAATAAAATGGCGCAAATGCCTAGGGTAGGGTTAGTTAATATTTATGTCTGCATGGTCTTTAAGAGGGAAAAAAAGATATTAAAAAGAAAGACAAATAATTGAGAAAGAAGAAAAGAAGGAAAGGAGAATGTAAAAGGCAAAAAATGAAATTGAAAAGAAATGTTAGAAATGGCAGACGAGAAAGAAAAAAAGAAAAGAAAAAGAAGACATGAAAATGATCAAAAAAGAAGAGAATGATATTATGGAAGGAAAAGAGAAAGAATTGGTTGTAGGAAAAGAAAAGAAAAATAAGTGTTATATTAAGGAAAGAAATGGAATTTTAGAAAGAAAATAGAATGAAGTTTTAGTAGGGAAATGAAAGAGAATGAAGTGCTAGCAGGGAAATGAAAGAGAAAGAAGTGTTAGGGAAATGAAAGAGAATGAATTGCTAGTAGGGAAATGAAAGAGAAAGAAATGATCGTATGAAAAGAAAAGGGAAAGAAGTGTTAGTAGGGAAATGAAAGAGAATGAATTGCTATTAGGGAAATGAAAAAGAAGGAAGTAATCGTATGGAAAGGAAAGAGAAAGAAATGCTTGTAGGGAAATGAAAGAGAAGGAAGTGATCATATGAATGAAGAGAGAAAAAGTAAGAAAGAAAACAAAACCGAAGAAAAAGAAGGAAAGAAAAGAATTATGTGGAATGAATTAAACAAAAAATGAAATTAAGAAAAGATAGATGAAGAAGAAAAAAGTTAGTACATGTGAAAGAAAAAAAAGAATGAAAGAAATTAAATGGGTGAATACAAAAAAAACAAATAGGAATACGAAAAAAAAAAAGAAGGTAGGAAAGTTAATAAAATGAAAAGAAAAAAAGAAGTAACATTAATGAATGAAAAAGGAAGAAAATATTATGACAAAAAGAAAGAGGAAAAATGGAAGAAGGGAGAGAGAATGTAAGAAAAATGAACAGAAATTAAAAAGCGAAAATAAGGAGTAGTAATGAAATTAAAAAGAATAAGAAGTAGAATGAAGTAAAGGGAGAAGAAGAAGCATCAGCAGAGAGAGTGAGAGGCATTAAAGAAAAAGAAAGAAAAGGAAAAAGAAGAGAAAAAGAAAAACGAAAAAGGAAAGAGGGGAAAATGTGAAAGTAAAAAGAAGAAAAAATAGAATGATGTCAAGGAAGAAGAAATGTCAATAGGGTGAGAAAAATTGAAGAAAAAATGAAAAGAAAAGAAAAATGAAAGAACCGAAGGATGTGAAAGTAAAAAGAAAATGTCAGTAAGGGGAGAAAAATTGAAGAAGAAAATGAAAAATAAGAGAAAAAGAAGAGAAAAAGAAGAGAAAAAGAAAAGAAAAAGAAAAGAAAAAGAAAAGAAAAAGAAAGAAAAAAAAAAAGAAAAAAGAAAAAAAAGAAAAGAAAAAGAAAAGAAAAAAAAAAAAAAGAAAAGAAAAAGAAAAGAAAAAAGAAGAGAAAAAAAAAGAAAAGAAAAAAGAAAAGAAAAAGAAAAGAAAAAGAAAAGAAAAAAGAAAAGAAAAAAGAAGAGAAAAAGAAAAGAAAAAGGAAAAGAAAAGATAAAGAAAAGAAAAAAGAAGAGAAAAAGAAAAGAAAAAGAAAAGAAAAAAGAAAAGAAAAAGGAAAAGAAAAAGAAAAGATAAAAGAAAAGAAAAAGAAGAGAAAAAGAAAAAATGGAAAGACGAGAAAGAAATGAAAGTAAAAACAAGAAAGAATAGGATGAAGTAAAGGATGAAGAAGTGGGTGTAAGTAGAGAAAAAAGGAAGAAAAAACGAAAACAAAAATGAAAAGAAAAAGAAAGACGTGGTTGTAATGAGGCAAAAAGAAGAAAGGAAAATGAAAAAAAAAAGGAAAAACATGAAAGATGAAAGAAGAAAAGAAGAGAAAAAAAAGTAAATCGAAACTGAAAAAAAGAAAGAGTAAAATAAGAAAGAAAGAAAAAAAAGTAGAGCGACAAGAACAACACGAACGTTGAAAAGAGAAGAAAAAAACAAAGAGAAAGAAAATAAAGAAAGGTTGATAAAGAAGATAGCAGAAAAGAACATGAATTCCTCAAATCAGAAACAAAGGAAGAAAGAAGTGAACGACGGATGAATAAAGAGGACATTATGACAGGATGTGAATAAAACCAGTAGACCGTGTCTCCTTTGTGTACGCTGCTCGCCAGCCACTTGTAGAAACGGAGAAAACAAAGACGAATACTGTTATTTATCCTTTCAGTGATATTACAGCGACAACTTCTACTATTACTTCAACTCTTAGCTATTTATTACTCGCTGTCAACGTCGACAATGGGAGTAGCAGCATCTACAGTAGCAGGTGAATTTACTAAGTAGAAAGCGACACATTCAACAGGGCTCAGAGTACCACTCTTTTCTCCGCCAACGGTTAAAAATGAAAACAAATAATAAAAAAGAACTAACAAAAAACTCAGACAAAACAAAGAAAATTTTAAAATGAGCTCATACCTGGTTTATTCAAAAAGTATCGGGTCTGTCCTTATGGTAAGGAAGCTAAAGTACGCAAAGTGAAGCCGTTTGGCATATATTGGTCTTGAACTCTGTCACGTAGCCATACAAAGTTATAACGTCCTTGCTCATTGTCCTGGTTTACAGCAGTGCTTGGGATGAAAGTGTGTAGAGTGTGGTCGACTCAGAGCTTAACTGAGGTTCCACCAGTGGCCATGGCTTGTGCAGCAGTTTAGGCCAAACACAATATTCCTCTGGTCCGACAACTACTATATTCGCCCAGATCTCGCCCCTTGCCATTTTTCTCTCTTCAAAAATGAAATTCCACTAGAAAGGAACCAGATTTCAAGACGGTGAGGAAATCCAAGAGAATGCGACGAGGCAGATACTCGTTGTTCACCCCCAACCCCACGAAAAGAAGAGAGTTCTATGAATGCTTCCATCAAAGGAAATGACGCTGGATAAAATGTATGGCTTCAGAAGGGGGACTACTTCAAAATGGGTTAAATACTGAATTCATATGTGCTATAGTTTTCTTTTTATCTCAATCCGAATGTTTTATGATCAAACCTCGTATATATATATATATATATATATATATATATATATATATATATATATATATATATAAAAGACATTTTACGTTTATACATTCTTTTTATAGCTACAAATATTTAAGTAAATGCTCTGTTTATAATAAACAGTATTAAACAACATTTACCGGCCTGAATGTCCGAGAAATTTTCACAGAAAATATTCGTCCTCCGGCAGGATTCGAACCTGTATCCTATACGGAACAGTCATTTAGCTTGACGTGCCTTTAAATACAGTAAATTCTATCTTGCTAACCGAACGGTCCTCTGTAGCCAAATCGGTTAAAGAAAAATGATATAAAGGATGTATAAACATAAAAATGTCTTAAAATAATTGTCGGACTTTGTCCAACTCATAATGTGATATATGTGTGTGTGTATGTATGTATATATATATATATATATATATATATATATATATATATATATATATGTGTGTGTGTGTGTGTGTGTGTGTGTGTGTGTGTGTGTGTGTGTGTGTGTGTGTGTGTTTTTCAGAGAGAGAAAAAATTCAGATATAAATATTTATGTCAGCAGACTACGTCAATTCAATTTTTGAGGAAAGGGTTGAATCAATATGGCTGATCATCCTGGGGAATATAATTTTAGTCATCCGGTTCATGATTGGATTAGATGGAGTCCTTGTACGCTTGTGAAGGCTGGATTGGATGTTGTTCTTGTACACCCTTAATTGAAATTAAACGAATGGTGGTAAATTTGCTTTTTAACGCCCGCGCTAAATATCTCTTAAAATTTTCCCAAATTGTCATAATTCCGTGTAAATGTACATGCTGAACTCGAATTAACAATTAAATTATGAAGAAACCTACCGTTTTTGGAGTTATCGACAAGAAAAAATCGGACTTCTTGTTGGTCATTCATCCGCCATTACTGCCATAATGTTCACTAAATTGGTGGCGTTGGCGTAAGCATAAAATTTCCGCCGCTTTCATCAAAACCTGTTACCATATCGCACACATTTGGCTGTGATGCATGTGCCTGATATACAGTTATGAAACTGGATCTCATAATACATACATTGGTCTTTGTATGTTTTTCCCCAGCTGCTCAGTCAATAATAATAATAATAATAATAAATCCTCTGATAATACACAAGGCAAAGGCTCAAATGTTTTTTGATCTTAAGTTGATTAACCTCACTTTCCACTACAAATATATAAATAGACAGGAAATATATCAGTAAATACAAATTGATAATTATTTTATGGTTTGATTCCTTATGTTACACACAATTCTGAGATTGGTTCTGTGTGTGAGTTTCCTGCTGTTATGAATATGGTGAAACGTTTTGGTAAATAAACATTCTGTTCGCTGCTGCTTCTATATCCATGCGTTTCAAAGATAGCCGCAGAAATGAGCAACGGAAACATTGGAGTTATCATTAAAAATAACACAAAAAACTGAACGACAGCCACCCGAATATTTCTTTGACAGCACGCAAGGGGTTACAGAGGATTTGGAGCGAGAGCAAAGAGGAATTATAGAGGAAAGGATGAAAGGAAGTATAGGGGATAGTTCGAGACGTCGACTGACATTACATTTAAATAGTTGGAGATTATAGCTATCAGGAAAACAGGAAAAGAGGAAGGAGTTCCACAGGCGAGAAGTACGAGACATGAAGCTATCTGAATAGAAGAGACAGATACATTTAACAGTTTCGACAGGGAAAGGGCGAGAGCGAGATGCCAGCCTAGTAGATGCTTAAATTCATAAAGTCTGGGAACCAGCAAAAGCAGCTCATCGGAGCAGTTACTGTGAAAGTATTTGTAAAAAAGACAGAGGGAGGCGACGGTATGTCTGTGAGAGAGCGACTGCAGACGAGATGTCAGATCAGGAGTAATTACATTGCATATCCGTCTCTGCATTTTATCAAAGGCCTTGACACAAACAGAAGGGGATCCAGACCATATATGGCAGCAATACTCTATGCAAGGGCGAATGGAGTATTGCTGTCATATATGGACTGGAGCCCCTTCTGTTTATCTCAAAGTCCTTGATAACACTATTATAACATCAATATCAACTCACCATAATCTAGAATCAATGTAGAAAATTAGTTGGGTTTAGAAAATTAGTTGAAAATTATTACAAATAAATAAATTGTAAACATATATTGTTAAATATAACAGACAATGAATGTCTAGTAGGCCTTATCATGAGCCGTTCTAAAGGTCGTATGTTAATTTCGCGTGAAAATAAAGACAAAAATTGTCCAACATTTGGATATTTTTTTATTATGCTATTCCTTGATATAAGCTTTCGTCTCCCATGAGCCATCTTCAGAGTGGTTATACGGACATGATATTCACCATCAAAGATGATATTTTGTTATGTTGACATAGAAGATTGTCATACGACCATAACGGAATATATATATATATATATATATATATATATATATATATATATATATATATATATATATATATATATATTGTTATGGGACCTTACCCATAATAACATAATGGACTCTTCCATACGTAATAAATACTGCGTCTCAAGAGGAAGCAGAGAGTTTCGTCTGAGGTCTAGAGTTCAGTCTGAAGTCTGGAGTGAGGTCCGTCAAGAGTCTGTCAGTCAGTCAGAGCGAGCGAGTCAGTCAGTCGAGTCAGAGGCAGTCCGAAAACAGAGTCGCGTTCAGACAATTACTACTAAACCTGATTGTTCGTACTAACATTTTCCACTTCTCTGTATATATTCCTGTTTTGTAATATATCTGTGTTATTCCATATCCGTATTCGAGTTCTTCTTTATTGGCTCTACCTTGGACTATCACCGTAGTACAAGGAACCGGACCATAACATATATATATATATATATATATATATATAGTTGTGTGTGTATGTGTGTGTGTATTCCTGTGTTGTACGTGACTGACGTACATGGGCTTGTATAATTTAATTTACACATAGGCACACAAACATATATACAATCTGTCTGTGCAACAAGAAAGGATCTAATACGAAATATGTGACTCTTGGAAGTCATTTTTATGGGACCTCTATTTAAACTAAATTCTAATTTCCTAATAAATTTATTATTTCCGAATAAATGTAGTATTTTAAATAGAAAAACAATTTAGATTTGAAATTTCGTCATTTTGTAACCAGCGAAGTGATAAGTACCTAAATTGTGTCTTTTAAAGAAAATCCTTTTACACATTTGTTTTGTTTTTTTAAACAATTTTTTTTCTTTCAAAGACTGATACTAAAACTATGTTCGACTTCGTTCTTTAGCACCATTGGCAAGCAAAGAAAACCTCATAGTGTTGACATCCAGACAAACTAAACCAATGCACTTGGGCGACAAGTCGATATCTGCCGCCTCTTTTAACTTTCAAACTCTCCAACAGTGTTATGTTTCAAAACGTCCAGGAAAATAAAGAAAAGGAACACTGCCAACAATGTCGATAGTTTTTTTAATAATAAAAAAATTACAGAGAAAAAGAAAAAGAAAGCACCTAAGAAAAACGATGTAATAGAAAGAAAGAAAGAAAGAAAGAAAGAAAGAAAGATAAAAAGAAAGAAAGAAAGAGAAACAAGAAGAAAGAAAAAAGAATAAGAAAGAAAGAAGAATAAGAAAGAAAGAAAGAAAGAAAGAAAGAAAAATAAGAAGAAAAGAGAAAGAAAAAAGAATAAAGAAAGAAAGAATAAAGACAGACGAATAAGAAGAAAGAAAGAATAAAGAAAAATTAGAAGGAACAAAGTATAATAAGAAGAAGGAAAGAAAGAAGAATAAGAAAAAAGAAATAAAGAAAAAAGAAGAATAAAAAGAAAGAATAAAGAAAGAAACAAGAAGAAGAAGAAGAAAGAAAGAAAGAAAGAAAGAAAGAAAGAAAGAAAGAAAGAAACTTAAAGAGATTGAGTTCAGGATGCAAATATTGGAAACGCGTTATTATTTTTTCTTTACTGAAGTTCCCTTAATACAAGGCGCAAGAGTCACTCGATGTAGAGGTTATTGTGTAACATTGTATAAGTGTAGAAAAAAAGAAGAATTCCTTTTGGTGTAGCATCAAGAAATAGAAT